GCATGCTCCACGAACATAATTATTGGTGAGCCATCAGGGTAACAGATTTGACACGCAAATACTACACAAATTACAAAACACATACAAATAGACGCATAGTACTTTCCAGCCAGCTTAACAGCATACAAAGGTAAATGCACCGAATCACCCTGCTGTCAATGGGTGACTGAACAGGTCCAAAATAATGCATGACTTAAGTTGTTTAAGTCCGACCTTTTTTCCCTGACCAGGATGGCTTCAAGAACTTGTGGACAGCGTTTGTTCGGACGTAATCTTAGAATCAGTGTGTTTTCAGTCAGGTCAGAACGTAGGAGTTTTTTGTTGTGGGTTTTGCGCACATGTTAGTCTGGCCCTCCCTCCTGCAAGTGCATATCATGCGTCGTGACAGGGATCTTATGGTCATACCAATGAAGGTAGAATTGCGCAGCCGGCGGTCTCCGTAAGGGCATTTAAATTCATACACTATATTAGTGCGCGTTTAGTTGATTTTGGTCCGATGTAAGGGTTGTTTTTTTCATTATAGGGGCGGCTAGTTGCTACCGATCTTGTAATAGATGGTAAGTCTATTTCAGTGTTTTCGTCAGTGCGGTGTGTATTTGTCTTGATTATAGTTCCGCCAAGACTTTTCATCCACTTTATATGACGGGGGCATTTGATTTCGATAAAAAAGTTGATGGGGCTTGTTCTTGTCGAGTGGTTACCGATTTCGTCGATCCAAGGTGGACTCAATCTCCTCATCAATGGCTCTGCTCGAATAACCGTCATTAACAAGTACTTGCTTACACACGTTCAAGTTCGTGGTGCGTGGGTGGACCAGCTGGAGCATATTTTAGGGCACGCGTCGTTCAAAAGCCGAACGATGCAGCCGTGCGGTAACGCTCTGGGCATTCGCTAGCCGGTTCGATACGTTTTCCAGCATCAGTGGGGCCTACGATGCACTTTTGTGACGAAAGATTCGCTGCTCGCGTCCACGTCGATGTCAAGAAAAGGTAAATGTCTGTCGACCCTCAGGTCAGCGTGAATCGTAATGACGATTGCCACTGTATGGTGGGCCTGCAGAAAATGCACCGATGCTGCGCAACAGAGGCAGCGTTCCGTTTGTCCAAGCGGGAAAATTCTGTCACCAATGTAGAGGGTGTCGCAATGGGGTCACCACTCGGGTACCTGTTTGCAAATATGTGCATGTGCTGGATGGAGAACCGTGTCCCTCAAAAACAATTAAGCTTAAAACAGCAGATAATGTCAGTGGCATATTTGTTGGTGTCAGAGACGAGGCCCACCTCCACCAACTGCAGAAAAGTCTAAATGGCACGAACCAATTGAAATCGGACAAAATCCTCCTTGGTTTTGATGCATATAAAATGCATACGTAATCAAACACTACAAAGACACGACGGCATTGCCGCAATCACATCTTTAGTAGGCCAACCGCCCATCACCATACTCAAGGTTGTGCAATAATTTATTTGCCTGTTTGGGGCTGAGATTTCGTCCTCTGTCATGCACGTCCGAGGAATGCCAGTGTTGTCCGTCACTTATTATTGTGTCAATGCCCTGTCATGTTCGTGTCGCATGTGTTCCAGAGGTGCCCCGTCAGTAAGTGCTTTGTCAGGCGTCGTGAGAGTGTCGTTGTGTTTACGCCAATGTAGTGTATGGGAAACGAAGTTTTGCAGCCTTAGATATTGCATTTCAATTGATTGCCCCTGTTGCTGCTAGTTTAGTTTTGTCAGGTGTAATATCCGCCAACAACAAGATAAGAAAGCTCTGCGGGAATCATCTCTCGACATGTAAATGGCAAGGACAACCACAAAATAGACAATGGCCATCTATTATTGCAAAAGGAAAATCTCTAACTTTCTTATGAAAAACAGCCCAGACAAGCCAACAAACTAAAATGTGTCAATGTAGTGAATCCATTCAAATGCAATATGGAACGAGGTTTGAACAAAGTTGCAAACTTCGTTCCACACACTACATACACGAGAGATGTTTTCCAGATAGTAATTCACAATTTTTGTCCTAAAAACCCAAGGCCTATTTCTTGTGCCATCTTAATTTCTCTGACGATGCGACAAGATCTCGAAACGTAAGAATGTGCAGATTAACGAACGTGTCAGTGATTTGCACCAACTATCTTTGATCTAAACGACAAATAAGTCAATAGCCCGGTAATTCGAACAGTGAAAAAGCTCGTTTTTGCTGAGTCAGCGGTCTTTTTAGTGAAATATATCGGTGCATATATAAACATATATACCAATATGTAGTAATGTATGTATATATCACATTGTTATACGTTAATATATATATACATATATATATATATATATATGTATGTATATATATATATATATATATATATATATATATATATATATATATATATATATATATATGCACAGAATGCTCTGGCTGCTATTTCATGTTTGATGTTAAATTAATCGATTAATGCTCTTCTTTCAGCATTGGCGTGGTAACACAACTAACGACACCCCTTACGTTTCGGAGCCGTGGCTCTCAGTGGTCGCAAGCTTGCAATATGGCGGGCAATCATTGTGATATATATATATATATATATATATATATATATATATATATATATATATTAATCATACCCTCATATTTAGACTCTCCCCATTCTAGCATGTGGCAGGCACCTCGAGTTGGATTCCTGAGGCAGCTGATTGTTCGGCCTGGTAGACGCCATTTGACCGAAAGCGAAAGGGTCCCCACCGGTCTACGGAGTGACTATGTCCATGCACATGACGACGCGCAAAAGTTCCCCAGGGTATCAGGGTTGCAGGCAAAAATTGCTGACAGAATGGATGAGGTGATAGTCTCAAACAGCTATCCCTGCAAGTTGTTTTTTATTAACCAAGGAAAAAGCCAGTACATTAAAAAATAACGCCATATATTTCGTGGCTCTCCAAAAACAACACTCAGTAATGGAGGGTGACAGCCTTTTTCAATATTTTGGTTACGTGGGCGAACAAAGTTCGCCTTTTGTCACCGCCTACTTGATGACACAGGGTGCCGAATCGTCAACCAAATACCGTAATAGCGGTAAATTTGTGAAAGTTGGTAACCCAGACATTATATACATGCCTAATTTTCACGTGACTTGCTGGACTACGCCAAACACCTATGACAGAGCCATCTCAAACCCTATGAACATATGTTGAGGGGACCAAGCAATCAGATAGAAGAACTGAAGCCATATAAAAAGACAAAACTGAGCCGTTTGTACTAGAGCAGCCTTGCGTTTGCCTCTAAAGATTTCCGTTCGCCGTAGATCGTATAATCAGATGCTGCCATTTACCACATAAAACACTTTCTCTAGTGTGGCTAGAGCAAGATGGCTGGTGATTAAGTCGATCGGATGCATGTTTAAGGTAGCGTAAATATGATGTAGGCTGAACGCAAATTAAATATGTATATATGTATGTATATGCCCTATATATGTATGCATATATATATATATATATATATATATATATATATATATATATATATATATATATATATATATATATACATATATATACCGGCGTGAGGGTTTGAGCCACAGACATTTGGAATAATTTGGCGTCAAGCTTACGATGGTACATGGAAAGAAACGACTCAAACTAAGCCTCGGTCCCCAATCCTGGAAACTTTTCTCGGTCTAGCCGACTACTGGCTGAGTAAAAGATGTGATAAAGCCAGGTTTTCAAAAGCTCAAAAAGCCGCGAACAAACAGCCCAGTGACCAACTGTAATCACATTTTAAACGTCAGGACAATGCCCGTCAATGCTCTGTCTACATCGATGCAGGTTTTTGTTGCCAGGGGGTCGCATCTTGCACTGCAGTCACGATGATTTCTTGCACTAATGTCATCCAACAGTATGGCGGCAATGTGTTTGGCCATGACGTCCTGCATACCACAGCTGAGTCGAAACAAAAAGTGCAGAAGTTGCCATTTGTATACTGTTTTGCATTTTGTAAGGCTGTGGTGCTGTTCTCCGGAATACCACTTTTCGTTTTAAACAAAATCATACGAACGTTGAACGTTTCTGATGACTCAATCTCCTCCTTAAACGCAACTACCTCAGCATTGGACACATCAAGGAATAATAAAACGACAATACCGTGGCAACCTTTCGATAAAACGGAACAAAATACAATAAGACCCTTCCCAAAAATAGGGGGCAAAATGGCCTTACGATCGACGCGCCTCTAAATGCATCAAGGGACGGCCAACTCAACCCGGCTGAGCCGTAATGCGACAGCACGCCGGACACTTTCAATTTCGGCGCGGTCAGTGCGTGCCGACCGCATCCAGCCGCCCACCTGCGACGTGACGTCATGCCGTCGCCGTGACGTCACGGCCCGTTCTCCGGCGTCAGCTGACCTCGGCGGCGGCGGCGGCGGCGGCGGCGGCGCGGCGGCGGGGCCACAAAGACGGGTGAGCCGGCGGCCGCGAAGGAGCGCCACGCGCAGCGGCCGGCCAGTGAGGGCGAGCGGGAGCGCGTGTGCGCCTGCGTGGGCAGCACTGCGATGCTGGCCGCGGCCGCGGCGCGCGTCACTCGTGCTCGGACATGCTGCCGCGCTGGAGCCTGCTGCTGCTGTGCGCCGCCGCCGCCGTCGTGCGAGGTAAGAGCCGGGACGATGACCCGCCGGCCGACCACCTGGCCGACGATCGGCCCTGCGCCGAGCCACCCGCCGGCCGACTCTCCAAGGCCCGGCGCCTCCGCCCCGCGCCGGCTGGGAGGAACGGCCGGCTGGCACGTCTCAGGGGACGTCCGGGCGATCGGAGGGGCCCGGCGCTGAGAGGACACCGTGTGAGAACGGGTCCGAGAGGACGGCTATGCGAGGACGGCTTTCGTGGGGTCCCCGGCCGGCTCGCCGCGCCTCGGTCGCGGCTGCCCGGCTGTTCTTCCGCCGGCATCGCCGACAGCCGAGCCATCCCTCGGCCCATGCCAGAACCGGACGGCCGAGCCGGACCGGACCATGAGTCAGACAGCGCAACACAAAGCCGCATCGCTGCATCTGCTCGGCAGGCTGCGGCCGGGCGTGCCCGGGCCGAGTCTTTGTATTATCGGTGTTAGTGAGCTGCCGGCTCACGGCATGGCCCGAGGAGCCGGACCGAATGGGGCGAGGGTGGAGAGCGCCGCCGCTGCGGCGGGCGGCGCCCCGCTCCCCGCCGGGCAGCCTGCTCCAGGCCAGGTCAGGCCGCACACGCGTGCGCTCGGCCCGCGCCTGTCAGCATGCGTCAGCTGCCGTCATGTCCCGCGCCATGGAGCGGAGTTATGCGGCCACATACACCTTGAGCCGAACAACACAGGCCGAGTTGCACAATAGCGACTCCGCTCGGCGGCGTCCGTGGCCCTCCCGCTCATAGTTCGGATCACGTGGCGACCATACTTAAAGGCTGTTTGTGTGCTGCAACGTATACTTAGCGGCGTGTAGTCGTCTATGCGTGTCTTCATGCGTGTACGTGAACAATGAAGCAGTGCTCCTTTCAGTTGGACTTTCTTCCAGCAGCATGACAGCCTCAGGCATTGGCAACGTAGCTTTAAGGGTCCTGATTGCGTGGGATTGCCCTTCTCCGCGTCTTATCGTGCCCCACCCGCCCTCCAAACAAGGCTGGCCGCCGCGCGTTGCTCGTGGCATGCCTTTGCTTGAGGAAAACGCTTAGACTTAAGCCCCTGATGTTCGCCTGTGATCCGCGGACGGCCTCTGCTCGCGAAGTTCTGGAAAACGTGCTGATGACACACCGCTTTTGCAGGCACCATTTTAAACGACTTTGTCCGCCACTACGAGCCGTTGCGGTATGACGCCGTGGCTCTGCAGCAGGAGCATCGGCGCGTCCGCCGTCAGGCCGACCCCCGCCGGCACGTGCAGCTGCGGTTCCACGCCAGCGACAGGTCAGAGACCCGGCTGCCTGCAGCCGTCCGCCCCTGCCACCGCCCACCTGCGGGAGGCAGGCCGCCCCTGCCCAGCTTGTTCGGGCATGCGCCCGGACTGGCTAGCCCGGTGCGAAGGAGCATCCATACATTACCTAACGCATTTTTCCATGATTTATATATTCCATGTAGCTATTTTAACTTTAGGTAACCCTAGCTACTGGCTTAGCACCTGTCACGAGCCCTCCCCTCCACCGTTTCGTAAACTATGGATGACCCCTTACCAGTTAGAGACAGCCAATTAGCCAACCGCTGGAGCGCAGTTCCTGTATGCGTGCACCTGCGAAATGTGTTCTCTAGAATGAAAAAGCACATGAGTGAAATCCATTTACAAAGCGTAGCTGTCGAACATTACCGAAGCCCCGCACGTGCTCACTCTGAGTTGTGTGCGCGTTGCGTGTAGGCTCGTCACTTTCAAAGCAAATAGGTCCACATCCGACTCTGACTGCATATCCAGGGCGCGATACATGGACTGGATAACAGTCCATATCAGGGGAACCCGTGACGTGACTCATGTGGGCGTGCGCGCCGCCACGCGGCATCATCTCGGGTACCACGCGCGCGGATGGCAAGACATCTGCTCTGTCCGCTGACCTGGCTCCTCTGCTCTGGTCGCTAGCCTGGCTCCTCTGCTCTGGCCGCTGACCTGGCTCCTCTGCTCTGGCCGCTGACCTGGCTCCTCTGCCCTGTCCACTGACCTGGCTCCTCTTCTCTGGTCGCTAGCCTGTCTCCTCTGTTCTGGCCACTGACCTGGCTCCTCTGCTCTGGCCACTGACCTGGCTCCTCTGCTCTGTCCGCTGATCTGGCTCCTCTGCTCTGGTCGCCGACCTGGCTCCCCTGCTCTGCCCCACCACACGGGTCAACCCACGCACGACTCGGTCAGCCGAGCTCGCGCGTCTGCCGCCCATTGTGCAATGTGCAGGCCGTGTCCAGGTCAATGCCGTGGCGCCGACTGAGCGGCGCGAGGCCGGAAGTCTGTGGCAACCTTTTCACGGGCGGCCCGGGCCTCGGCCGAACAGAGACGGCGCTGGCAGTCTCCTCTGACATGACCAAACGCTGCGAGCAGTCGCCTCAAAGCCCTCCCCACCACCCACCACACCCACCACACACAAATACACAAGCACACACACGCACGCGCGCGCAGGGGAGGGAGCAGGTGGCCGATCTGACGGCAGGTGATTGGCCGCGCAGGCGACAAACAATCAACGGCCTCCCCGTATAAGGCGGCGCACAGCGCCCTGCTAGCTCCACTGTTGGCGGCGCCTCGGCCGGGGCTGGCGCGAAACGGCCGTCAGCTGGCCTCTGTCTCTCCTCCGCGTGTGATGGGCCAAGGGCGGCCGCGCTTCCGGCGCGCATTGAAGCCGATCGCGAGCCGGCAGCCCGGCGCGCGTCCCCGCCGCCCACCCGCGGCCCCTTCCAGCCACGCGAACGCTGTCAGGGCAGGGACAAAGGCACGGGCGCTGCCCCGCGCGTTCAGCCCGCCGACATTGCCGGCTTGTCTTTGTCGTCGGCTGCGCGCGTTTTTGCCCTTCGCTGTTGATAGCCCGTTTCTCGAGGTGATGAAGTATCGTGCGCGCTGTTAGGCGCACGGGTATCTGAATTGATTGCCGTTTGGATGAATGCAGTCTTGCACTTGTGAACATGGGCAGGGTGGCCCTGCTGGTGCGGGGTAATTTTGCCCCCCCCCCCCCCGCCGCCGGCCCCTGGTCATGCAGCTGGCCGGCTCCGCTCCGGGTGACGCACGCTGCTCCCGTTCCGTCAAACAATGAGCCGTGAATGGGCGGCATGCTCTGGCGATCCTCCATGCCGTGGCAACGGTTGTCGGCCGGGCGCCGCCGCGGCGCCGGCCGCGTCCCGGCGGCGGTGCGCGCCAGTTCCGGGGCCATGGCCCGCCGCGCGGCTCGTCCCCACGCTGGTCTGACCCGGCGGCCGACCACTCACCCCTGTACCGTACGGGCGGCGGTCGGTCAGCCCCGTGGTCGGCCCCGGAGCGCCCGAAGAGCCGGCCCGGCGCAGTGTTAGCCGTCTGACCACGCCACCGTATGTGGCGGCCGCTGGGGCAGTCATCGATTTACGGGTCGTTTAGTGCGGGGGTGAGCGCCCGTTCTGTCATGCACTGTCAGACACGATCGACAAAACAAAGAAAGCGCGGTGCTGTGATCTGAATTGGTATTCCTGTAGCGGTTGAACTTTTTTTGTACGCGGTCGCCGGCCGTACATTGGTTTGTTACACGCGGTGAGGGGAGTGACTATTGGCAACAGAAGAAGATCAATACCAGGTGGACGCCTGTACCGCCCCGTTCGCTGCAATTTGGGCATACCGCCCGCAAACATGAGGGGGGGAGGGGAGAGGATGGAGCTGGCAGGCGGCAAACCCTCCGACGCGACATGCGGTGTCTATTGTGTCAGCAGTACGGTCACGAGAACTGGCTGAACCGGTCGAAGCCTCGACATACTTATCGTCACTGGTTTAATGTATTCACTTTTCGAATGATTTGACAACTGAGGCCTCGCAGACCCACTAACGGCCTCTAAAAAAGCATCATATCGTATAAGACCAGTTGCGCTTTGAAACTGCGCGGAGAATGGTTTGGCATAATAGCCAGGTTGTATGTGCATTGGAAATTAGGCAGTATTGATGGTGTTACTCCTGGCAGAAGGATCAGAGGTTTGCGTTGTATAGTTATGATGTAAATTATAACTAAACTTTATTCCCCGAAAATGCACTGAGCCTTCTACTATTGTTTTAATAAAACCATGTTTCCAGAACATCAGCCTATCTATATGTCCATTCTCTTGGTTCTTCTCCAAGGAAAAGGGCTATTACCACTGCCTTACCTATGTTAACAATGTTTCTTGCAAATGCACTGAATACCTTAGGTATTATTGATATTTCGGCACATTCCTCTCTCGAAACGAATGTCAGTAGCCGTGAAATAGGTGAAACCAAAGGTCATTTGCTCCAGAGTAAGTGTATATCGGTATTTCCCTGGGGTAGCTGCTTTGGAGTAAATGGCTTGATCAATTTCTCGTACGAACACCATTTGAGCAAGCAGTCGGGGCACACTATGACCCAGATGATCATCATCATCGGTCACCCGTGGAAGTATTGATAGCAGTTAGCGACCGAAAATAACGCACTTACTGTGTCCAACGTATGAGGAAAACCAGCTTGGATCTCGTTTTAAGTTATCATTAACTTGAATAATAATTTTGCATCGACTGTCAAAGTCGCCATGGAATGAAGTCGCTGTGACCAGGGTCTGAGCTAACCTAACACCACTGCCACGACGCCATCTAACGACGTTGCCAAAAAATTGAAGGCTTTAAAGTAACATCTCCTCAGGTGAAAATGTCACCGAAGCACATAAATTGTTAAGTGCATTTGCGAGGAACATTATGCATATAGGTAGGGCAGTATGAATTACTTCATTTCTCATAGAAAAAACAGAACTATGGAGAGATAGATGCACTGATATTTCGGCTACACACCTTTATCGAAACGAGTATCTCTAGTTAAACTGACTGGTATGTATAAAGGCAACCGTAACTGTTACACCCGTCGGGCCAACATTCCCGCTGGCTGAATTTTTCCGCCTCGTTGACTCCTTTTTTATACCATTCCAGTCGGCCTAACAACTGATATTTGTGTCGGGTTGACGATAACCTGAAGCGAGATCCAAGCTGATTTTCCTCATACGTCGGATGCAGCATGCGCGTTGTTTTCGCCTGACACACTCGGAGTCACCACTTGGAGTCACCGGCTTGGCGTTACGTCACGTGCATCACATCGCGATCACCAAACCCGAACAGCCGGAGAAACTACCCGTTATCAGCCTCGTCCACTGATCCCGCTTCCCGCCAGCCAGGACACGCTCTGTCGGCTTCAGCCGGTGCATCCGCTGCCGCATCTCCGGAGTTGGGAGCAGAGCGAGCCTCGCGCCTGGTGCAGGCTGCGCCGGACTGGGCTGCTCCCGGCCCGGTGGCCGGCGTGCCAGGACATGAGCGGATCATGGACGGACCAGGGACAGACGAGAGACGGACCAGGGATGGGCCGCCGTCCAGCCGGGCGCTAGCCATGACCTGACGGCTCGGCACAGTCTGCCCGCTCTCCCAGCGCGCCGGTCTGCAGTCACGCGGCCAATGGACAACAATGCAGCGACAGCCGAGGGTCTGGGCAGACAAAGACGGTCATCCATATCCCCCACCCCCACCCCGCTGTCGGCAGTTACGAACGGAATGTCAGGAGTGATGAGCAGCACGGTGGAGGCGGGCTGTCTCATGGGTCTCACCAATGGACGACCGTCCCCTCACCAGCGCGACCGGCGTCGGCTCCGTCGCTCTCGGTCAGCCGGCGTCGGTTCTGGCCTTGCCCGTCTCGCTGGCGAAGAGTTAGTTAGGCCGCCGGGCCGGACCGCCGCCACCGCCGCCGCGGCCGCCGCGGCGGCCGCCGCCGCCGCCCGTGCCGGCACCGCTCGCCGCCGCAGTTCAGGGCCGACCGGTGACGGCCGCCCGGCGCCTGGCTCGCCGGCCGCCGGCCGCACTGGAAGCTCGCGCGAGGGGGGGGGGGGGCGGCGCCTCGTCCATACAAACAGCCAGATGGAAAATGATCAGATCCGAGGCAGTGAACCGAACAAAGTCGGAAGTGGGACTCATTGGGGACAAGAGTCAAAATGATAGACGGGCTGGGGGAGAGGACCCCATAAGCAATCCATGTCAACAGGGAACAATCCAGGCTGGTCTAGGGGCCAAATTCACAAGGAGAGAGCGCAGGCCTCTGTACATCATATTGCTGCCAAATTCATCATGTGGAAAGAAGCCATAGCTCAATGAGGTCACTTCAAATAAGCCTAATGTAGGAATCATTAAACAACAATATTTTTCTTTTGTGACCTAAGTTGAGACATCACATATCATATCTCCTGGTATGTAACGCAGTTTCACAACAGCTATGTATTGTG